TATATATATATATATATATATATATATATATATGTAAAAAAATTATAAAACCCTTTAACGTGTGATACATAGTATTATTTAATACATCTACCATATTGTTCAAGTTCACAGGGCCTGGTAGTTAGAGCACTCAACTGACAATCTATGGGTCATGGGTTTGAATCCCAGCACTGAACATGCTGGTCCTTTCAGCTGTGGGGGTTATAATGCGACAGTCAATCCCACAATTCTACCACTTCTAAATTTCAGAACAGATATAGCCCTGAAGTAGCTTTGTGCAAAATTAAACAAACAAACAAGTTTAAAGAAAAAATTAGAAATTTACTTACAAATTACTGCACAAAACACAAAAAAAGGACTTTAACTCATTCGTTTACTAGTTTCAAACTCATCATAACTCAATGATTGTTACTTCTGCATCATTGGCATACACACAAGCATCGAGTTTTCTTTAGACAATTAGTGTGACTCACAAACCAGATGCATTTTTACATTTGACGTAAGGTTCAAATGCATAATAAAAAAAAAAATGCAACATCAAAAAAAGAAGGTTACGTCTACTGATAGTGCTTTGATTTTTCGACCTTTAGGCTTGGTTGAAAAACAGTAGATGTGTAAGTTATTCACTAAGGTGATGTTACACAGTTTGGTTTTGTAATAAGCACAAAGCTGCACAATAGGCTATCTGTGCTATGCCCACCACAGGGACTGAAGCTCAAATTTAGTATTATAAGCCTTCAAGATTACTGCTGAACCACAGAAGGACAAGATTGTATAAAATATTATTTTAGGTCTACTGATTTCTTAAATGTCAGAGGCTAGGTACTTCATCATGATGTAATAGATGTGTGTTAGTACAGCATATTTTAAACCTGAGTTATCCTAAAGTCAACTAGTAATAATATTTCATCTATAAATTTAATAATAAAGAAATTAAGCTTAATTCAATCAAAGAATATTTTCACACAAAAACATAATTTAGAACATTTCATATTCTTTGTGATTAAAACACTAAAAATAACCGTTTTCTATACAATACAATGTTAACATTGCATTACACACTTCACAATTAAAAAATCTAGTTTTATAAGTATGATAATTATTGTATGAAATTACTCGAACAACGGCTGTATAGTTTGCCAAATTAGTTTTATAAGTATGATAATTATTGTATGAAATTACCTGAACAATGGCTGTATAGTTTGCCAAATTAGTTTTATAAGTATGATATTTATTGTATGAAATTACCTGAACAATGGCTGTATAGTTTGCCAAATTAGTTTTATAAGTATGATATTTATTGTATGAAATTACCTGAACAATGGCTGTATAGTTTGCCTGAGAGAAAACAGGTGGGTTATCATTGACATCAGAAACTTCAATGTTAACCAAAACAACTGTAGATAAGGAAGGAGTTCCACTGTCTTTACATTCCACTTCCAAAACATAAGTAGAAACCTAGAGAAATGTGTGAGAAAAAGACTCTTAAAGTGCAAGACAACTTATCAGATTACAACTTAACATGCTATCTGTTCTACCTTGTGTAAGATGTCATTTTTATGATAATTTAATAAATGTTCAACACTTTAACTTAAGAACTTGTTAAGTGATGAGGGTTAAAAATACAGTTTCAATAAACAATTCCCCAAAAATAAGCTCTCACCGACTCCCTGTCCAGTGGAGCAGCCAAAATAATATAGCCATCTTCCTCCTTCATTTTAAATTGGCTGTGTTTGTCACCTCCAATGATAAAGAAAGACAATCTGGAGTTTGGAAGGCTGTCAATATCGCTAGCTTTAACCTGTAGAGATGGCATTATTATGAAGTATTTAGTATGGAAGTTAACAATACGTTATCACAGAAACTTAAATAAGCATTCATAATAAGAGCCGAGTTAATGCAATACTTGTGCAAATTAATCTTGTTCTTTTAATTTGGCACATTTTTTTACCTGATTTAGACACAAAAACAATAATTATACCTGAACCTTCTTTACGGCACTCTAATCCTGTATTTATGTAGTAATACAAATAGAAAAATTCACACAAGGTTTGCATTAAATAATACAAATAGAAAAATTCACACAAGGTTTGCATTAAATAATACAAATAAGAAAATTCACACAAGGCTTGCATCAAATAATACAAATAAGAAAATTCACACAAGGTTTGCATTAAATAATACAAATAAGAAAATTCACACAAGGTTTGCATCAAATAATACCAATAAAAAAATTCACACAAGGTTTGCATTAAATAATACCAATAAAAAAATTCACACAAGATTTGCATCAGATAATACAAATAAAAAAATTCACACAAGATTTGCATCACTTGAAAGTATGACATTTAAAGACAAAATGTGTGTTTGTTTGCACCCTAACTCCTCCAAACCTATTGGGACAATCTCAACAAAAATTTGTATGTAAAAAATATGAACTATGGGGAATGTCCTAAGGGGGGTCAAAATTGAACTTAACCCTATTTCTATTGTGTAAAATCTGTTGGTTAATTATTCCCAGCCTATTGAGTCAATCTCAAACAATTTTGGCAGGTTGATGCTTTAGACAATGTTGAATATTCTAAAGGGGTTCACGATCAAAGTATGAAAGTTGTTAGACTGTTTCTCAAACAACCATGTTTTTCTCATGGCCAATGAGATGTTGGGTGTTCAAGGGTTGGATCACCTCAAAATCTTTATTTGTTGATAGATGTAAAGCAAACTGCAAATTTTGAGATAAAGTTTATGTTCAAGTTATTACTTTGAAATATATTATTGCTGTTAAACTTATATTGTTTCAATTAAGTTTAAACATTTCCCATCAGCTGACAGGTATTTCAGCTTGTAGTGAATAAATATTAACCATTATAATGACTTACGATGCTTAAAAAAAGCTCTAGTGATTCTTTAACAACAAAATTGTTTTCTTTTATATGCGAATGAACAAAAGATTTGTTAAATGCCTTTAGGAAAAACATTTTTAAAGCTTTCCAATAGGAAACTTCTATATAGATGAGCCATAGGAACACTACATCATATTAGGGAATACAGAACTTAAGCAAGCTTCTTTAGACTGAAATCTCTTTCCATGTTCTTTCACAAACATTAATGGCAAAGAATGATTGAATTGAATTTTGTGATTTATTCAATTCTTTTGATTCAAAACGTATTAATTCGTCTACGTTTTCTTATGTATTTTGGGTAAAAATACCAGTTTTTTTGGTACATGAAATTTAATGTTATGTTTCAAAGAATATAGGAAAGAACAGAAAGCTAGCCTTGTGAAACATCTTGATACAGAAGGAAGTTTTTGGAAGCATGATGTTTTTCATTATTTATCAGTGAAACAAAGAGGTTTCAATTATAAGACAAAAAAGTCAAATCACAGTGTTATTTACATATTAAAAAACAAACAAAAAACAACAATCCTACTTTGTTACTTTCTTTAAACATTTATTAGATTGGTGAACTTCTGGTCAAACCTGTATAATTTTGTCCCCTGGAGATGCATCCTCAGGAATAACAACTCTGTAAGATGGCTGATTGAAAACTGGAGGATTGTCATTAGCATCGATAACAGATATATTAACTGTGGCATGGTTATTAAGTGGTGGCGTTCCTCCATCTTTGGCTTCAATGGTTAGGAAATAATCTTTCACATCTTCATAATCTAAACTTTTAGCAACAGAAATGACACCTAAAAAAAAAATGCAGGTGAAGTACGAAGAATTAGAAATGAAGAATAACTACAATTAAGAACACATAAATACATAAACTGACATCCATTTCTAACTAAATATTTCTAGAACTAAAAACAAACAGTAAACATTAAGAGTAACTTATATATACAGCATCTAAATCAGCGTGATCTTATTACAATCGAATTTATCTAGCTCATGTATTCATTACTAATCACAAATTAACTTTCAAGTTTATGTATTAAAAATAAAGTTTACTCACAAAAGAATCATTTACGTGATAAATTGTGCAGTCTTTTATATATCAATATATATATATAATAACTGAAAATCACAGCTGAATTATACATAACATGTTGGTCTACAATAACTGAAAATCACAGCTGGATTATACATAACATGTTGCTCTACAATAACTGAAAATCAAACTGGATTATACATAACATGTTGGTCTACAATAACTGAAAAATCACAGCTGGATTATACATAACATGTTGGTCTACAATAACTGAAAATCACAGCTGGATTATACATAACATGTTGGTCTACAATAACTGAAAATCACAGCTGGATTATACATAACATGTTGGTCTACAATAACTTAAAATCACAGCTGGATTGCATGTTTTAGAATGTTGAATCTGGTTGAACGAAATTTAGGACAATGACATATATATTTTTTTCATTTTTCAATGATAGCAAACTGCAATGAACAGAAGAATGACTGAATAAGTTTTTCTCTCTTTCTCTATCTATCCATCTATCTAATTTTGAAGACCAATTTTATTCTCTTTGCTATTTTTCCTTTTGTTAATAAACACCAGTACACATGAAAGAGGTGGGTGATGAAAAAAAATAAAATATTTGGTTCTTCTTCTCTCACCTGATTTTGGATGAATGATAAAGCCACCAAAATCATTTCCATTGACGATAGAATAGGTGATTTCTGCATTCACTCCAGTGTCCTTGCTTCTTGCGAGGACACGGACAAGTTCTGTACCAGCTTCGTCTCTCTCCGAGACATTAGCATGATAGAAGTTATTAGCAAACTCTGGTGGATTATCGTTAATGTCTTGTACCCTGACCAAAATGGTTGCAACAGAGGAGAGCTGAGGAGTACCATGGTCACTACACTGAACCGTTAAGTTGTAAAACGCTATCTGCTCACGATCTAAAGATCTGTGGAGGCGGACAATGCCAGTCTGATTGTTAATGGTGAAGTTACCATTTGCAGAATCAACAAAGGAGTAACTAATTTTACGATTTATTCCTGTAAAGAAAATAGAAGTTTGTGGAATAAGATTACAGAGTTTAAATCCCAGTTATTCTGTAATATATGCAACTACTCAGATACTGCTTAGGTGTTACTGTTACATTTTCAGTTAATTTACAATTACTTAGGTGTTACTGTTACATTTTCAGTTAATATATAGCTATTTAGGTGTTATTGTTACATTTTCAGTTAACTTACAATTACTTAGGTATTACTGTTACATTTTCAGTTAATATAGTTATTTAGGTGTTATTGTTACATTTTCAGTTAACTTACAATTACTTAGGTGTTACTGTTACATTTGCAGTTAATATATAGCTATTTAGGTGTTACTGTTACATTTTCAGTTAATATACAGCTATTTAGGTGTTACTGTTACATTATCAGTTAATATATAATTACTTAGGTGTTACTGTTACATTTTCAGATAGGTGTTATTTAGAATAATTTCACACACATATATATATATATAAATTACAAATACGATGAGTACACTAGCCTGACAAAGAAACATTTAATTGTGCGTATATATATATATATATATATATATATATATATA